GACCCACAGAAAGCTGCCACGTCGGAGGCAGAACAACAACAACTCCGGGCGCCTTGTGTCGCCGCTGAGAAGTCTGTTGCCGGTGACGAAGAATCCACCATCTCCGAGAGGGCAGAAGAAGAAGGCGACGCCCTCTACCAGCGGATCTCTTTTGCTTGTGAGGTAAGACTGTGGAGGAGGCAGTTGTAGAGGATGGACAATTTAGCTTATCTTATTTACACTAAACTATCTACTTATTCGTACTAAGTAGAGATTGGTTTTTGATTTTTAACAGGACCTTCCACCTGGGTCATGGAACGTGGAGGGCTTTTATCCGCGTTGTTCGGTCTGCTGGCCCTTCTTGGCCGTGAGTTCTCCCGTCGGTAAGTCGAATGACGGAGCTCTGCGATTCGGTGTACAGATTTGGAAGTTTGCTGGTAAACCTCCTACAGCCCATCGCGTCACAACCTTTGACGATCCTGACAGCAGCCCCCACGGTTCGGGACGGATCATGTGGTTGCGCCTACTGTCAAAAAACTGGCTAGCGGTGGCTTACGAGACCGGCGTCCTCTGCATCTGGGACAGTGTAAAAGGTAACTATTTTTATTGCCAGTGCTAAAGAACTTCCTTATGCCTCTTTATTTGCTAGGTGGCCTTTTTAGTTTCCCAAAATGGGTTTTCTTGGAGTATTGTAAGATTTACAAACGGTTGACTGGTTCTCGGGAAACTTGTAAAAATTGACTTCACAGAACCTCCTTGCCCGCCGCAGTGTTCATTGTTGCCCTTCTCATCCTTCGCGGGCGCCACACTTAGTTAAGGTCGGTCTGTTAGGCGCACTTTATTTCACAACTGCCAGTCATCTTCTTAATTGGCACTCGGCTTTTGCCTTACTGATATTTTCGTGATTTAAAAAGGCTTATTGTAACCTATTGTTATAGCCCAGTTGTTCGAACCCAACTTATAGACAGAAGAAGGCCGGAGAGGGGTTCTGATAGGTAAGGGCTTTATTCAACAACACACACAGACAGCGAGGTTCGTGGAGTCTTCGAGGTCCCTCAACTTGTCCACTCCGGCATACGTATATGGTTCCGGTCTTGCTAGAACCTTCCTGGCTTATGGCGTACATCTGGGCAT